TGTTTTGATTGTGATATCAGAATTAAGAAATAGAAGTGGTGATACATGATACGTGGCATTATTCAATCAGGCTCAAAATTCAAGTTTTGATTCTTCATCAAGTGATGATAGTAACCAGATTCTGAGATGAAGACCATGTGCTCTAGTCAAACCCTGATGACTTGTTGTGGGAAAGTGTTACTTCTCTATCTCTATGTTCTGAAACCTCAAAATTTATTTTGTGAGTCTTGGGCTCGGGGAGAGACTCTGAACAAGCATAAATCAAATTTTGGGATTAACAGATTTAGGGGGAGCTGAGAGCTTAACTTTGAATTTTTCAATTACGGTGATTAACTTGTATAAATTGTTCAATCAAATTACATGGTTTTGTCATCATCAAAAAGGGTGAAATCGTAAGAACAATAAGTGTTGTTATATCTGGCCTTAAGATTTTGATGATAACTTTACATGGTTTCATAAAGAAGAATTGTATACTCTAATATTTTCGTTCTAGTCCGTAGCTGCTGTTGTAATGTTCTAACTCTGGTAATAAGGTGTGTGACGTCATCAGGTTCTAAACATACACTATTAGAAGAAAACATGTCATTACGTGTTACAGTGAAGTCAAGATTCTAGAATTCATCTTGTGTAGTGGTTCTTAGGAACATTAGTACAAGAGGTTCTAATCGTGACTTGGTGGTTAAGCTTTGGAGACCTTCTAAAGCTTAGCTCATGTGTGTTACAAGTTCTGAAGATTATGAAGACGAGGTTCTGTTGGACAAGTTTGGATGTCTTGAAGAAAAGCAATTTCTTACAACCAAGTGTTGAACACTCTGAAGACAAGGTTCTGACAGGACAATTTCTGAAGACTCCAAGACTTAGGTTCTAAGACTTAAGGGTCATTCTTCTACAACAAGCTTCAAACATTCAAATTATCCAAAGCTTCTGAAGAATAAAAGAAGTTCAAAATGGTTAACGTGTGATGGTGTACAAAAGGTACATAAAGTGTTTGTGACCTCTACCCTAGGACTTCATATTAACAGGAATTAGAGTAAAATCTAACGATTGCTTTTATTATAAATTTGTCTATTATACCCCTCAGTTTATTTATAAAACCGAGGTAACATTATTATTATTTATTATTCTTTTAACAATCACCTCGGTTAAGATTATAAAACGGAGGTGATAGTTATTATTATTTATTATTTTTTTAACTATCAGCTCGGTTAAGGTTAAAAACCAAGGTGATAGTTATTATTATTATTATTTTTTAATATTACATTGTCTACACATAATATTAAAATAAATTATTTAAAACAAATCTCTTCAATAATTTTTCTGCATTTGCAATCCATCATATAGGCGTTGATGCTTGAAGGTCAGAATTTTGCATTCAAGATTGATTATTGATGCTATCATTATCACTGCCTTCACTAGCGTATACAATATGCATCCAACTTTGTTGAACAAAACATTTTTTCCAGCTTTGAATGCATCCAATTTCTACTAAAGTGTTTGTTCTAAAAATTGAAAAATATTTTTCTACACTTGCAATCAATGAGTAAAGACTTTTAGGAATAAATAATAGTTGTTCAAAACCTTCAACAACAATAACAACATCAACACCATTGTTTGAGATGGATTACAATAGCTAAAAAAATGTTTTGTTCAAGGTAGAAGAATATTTTTTTTAAGCTTTGTAATTCATCCCAAAAAAATGATGCATTCGTAGGTGGGGTGGGGTGGCTACAAATAAGTGAGTATTAGGGTGAAATCTGTTCAACGAGTGTTTTTATAGTAAAATCTAGTTATTTTATCCCTCGGGTTTTCGGAGAAACTGAAGGGTTAGATAACTTATTTTACACTTGTAAACAAATAAAAACATAAAATGAAATAGTTGGGATTCAAAGCATGTCCGAAATGGTATACCGCCTCGGTTTTTATAATAACCGAGTGAGCAAGTTGTTTTTAAAAAAATAAAATATGGCACACCTTGGAATAAAACCTCGATTTTTCTGGATGACGTGAAAGTTTTATCATGAAAAGAGTTATTTGTTATAGTGAATATTTTACATAAAATAATAACTTGTAATTATTGTGGCGATAAGGTAAACAGAGACATCTATATCATGTAAGGAATATTAAAGTTCCTAATGATACTATAGGATTGATACCTAAATGTCCTATTATCGACCCTAAAGAACCCACAAATTGGGTACCTAAGTTACCTATTTGATTTTTGTAGGATGGTCTTGCAAATGTGGTTTCTAGATAGCAAGTGCCCAAGACATATGACGGAGGACGCTTCGATGTTTATCAAATTTGATCACAAAGAACACAGTCATGTCACATACAGAAACAATAGCAAAGCTAAAATTTTAGGTGAAGGTGTTGTGGAAAATCCCTCTATAATCACTGTAGATTTACTTTTGTTAGTTAAAGGGCTTAAACATTACTTGAAAAAGGTTGGTCAATTGTGTGACAAGGGTATTCAATTGCTTTTTATACCTAGGTTGCATAATTTAACATAAGGTTAGTAAGAGTATTGTGTTTATGAGTTATAGGGTTAACAACATTTATTTACTATATCTAGATGATGTTTTAAGGTATGTTACTAAATGCTTGGTCACTAAGAATAAAGGTTTGTGGTTATGGCACAAATATTTAGGACACATACATTTTGACATTAAATTTTTTAAGATAAACTTTGTGATGCTTGCTAAATTAAAAAGAAAACAATAGTGAATTTTAAACCGAAAAATATTGTTTTAACATCAAATTCTCTTAAACTTCTCCATCAAGATCTTTTTGGTCTCTCAACGAAAAATATTCTAAGCGTTAATTGTTACGGATTTATCATTGTAGATAATTGTTCTAGATTTATATGGGCTTTATTCATATTCCATAAGAAAGAAACCTTTGAATTTTTTATTAGATTTACTAAGCTTGACCAAAACCACTATAATTTGAAAATCAATACTCTTTAAAGTAATCATGATGGTGAATTTATTATCCATCAACTTGAAAAAGTTTTCAATGAAAAATAGGATAACTCACAATTTCTCATGTTTGCCCACTCCACAATAGAATATTATTGTAAGCGTAAAAGTTTTATTTTAGAAGAATTGACAGAGACAATAATAAGTCAGATGGGTTTACCTAGGGATAACAATGGATCTCCATGAACACGCGTACTAGTCTCTAACTACCCGCTCTGTTTAATAAATATGATACTCGTATTCATCTCGTATACGTGTGGGTATCCACCGGACGGATATCCATGTATTTTGAGATATCCATGCATATTTATGAATATCCATTAATAATATTATTTAAATTATTTTCAAAAAATATATAATTAATTAATTAATTATTTTTGTATCCCTTTTAAAGACTGAAAAATAATTTCAAATTTAACACATAATAATAATAATAATAAATCAATCACGTTCATTTTATTTCTTCTTTTATCAAATAATTATACTAATTTCCACCAAATAATAATAATTTCATTCAATAAAATAATAATAATAATAAATAATAATAATAATAATAATAATAATAATAATAATAATAATAATAATAATAATAATAATAATAATAATAATAATAATAATAATAATAATTTCATATTTAACAAATTAAATAATTATTATTATTATTATAGATTAAATAAATTAATATTTAAATATTCTTTTTAATTATTAACAAATACGGATACAAGTGATTACATGTACCATCAAATTTGTATATGGGCTTCTAAAAGAATGTAACTATATATTCATTTATTTTATCTATAAATACTACCGATTAATCTATTTAATCCATGACAGATTTTAGTTGCAAGTATCCACGTGTTTGAGTGTTTTTACCATTTCTAGATTTACCTAAGTACTTTTGTACAAATGTAATTACCGATGCATGCCACGTCTTAAACAATGTGATCATTCGATCTATCCTAAAAAAAGACATCCTACGAGTTAATTGGTAGAAAATCAAACGTTTTCTACTTTTAAATAATGGTAAGGAAACTTGAAAATATCAATGCAAAGTCTAATGAGGAAAGATTTGTACTAGTAGATACAAATTAACCTCCCTAGTTTATATGTTGGTTAGGTTTTTTTTTTTTTTTTTTTTTTTTTTACTTTTCAAATGCATTTCAGTTCACTACAATGTTTATATATATATATATATATATATATATATATATATATATATATATATATATATATATATATATATATATATATATATATATATATATATATATATATATATATATATATATATATATATATATATATATATATATATATATATATATATATATATATATATATATATATATATATATATATATATATATATATATATATATATATATATATATATATATATATATATATATATATATATATATATATATATATTTCAATGCATTTTACTCAAAAACTTTTATAAAAAAAAACATGTATCATAAAGTATTTATTTTTCAAAAGCATTTCAGTAAAGTAAAATATTTTATTTTTAAAAAAAAGTATCATAAAGTGTTTTTTTTTCAAATGCATTTCATTCAAATCTATTTAATTAATATAATCCATTTTATTTACTATTAATTTTAAATCAATAATAAAATCAATTAATTTAATATATTTAAAAAAAATATTGACTTTATATCTGATTTGATTTTGATAAAAAAATTGATTTGGTTAATTTTAAATTTGAAAATTATATAATAAATATGATCATTTTACCAAGTAGTATTTTAATATATTTCTGAAGTTGGAATAAATCGTTAAAAAAATCTTAAATTTTTGTATCAAAATATTATAATTTGACCAATACATTAAATAATTATATTTTGAAAATGAACCATTGCAATAAAATAAAACAAAACAAAATAAATAGTCAAGTACTTAATAAATTGTACTTTATTTTTATTATTGATGCTCTCACGAGATTTCGAACATAAAATTACATAGAGCATACATGGAGATGGTATTATTCTTGACCTTATAACTTTAGTTGATTAAAGGACTAATCCTTGGTGTTCTTGGTGGCTCAGAAAGTTGATTCCCTTCACTATCATAGAAAATTGCACCTGGAAATTCCAATGGCTGACATCTCTCCCCCATTAATATGGTCTTCTTCCACAAGCATTTATCATCCTCTTGCTTCTTCATTTTCTTAAGTTGGTTATGAATTTCCTTGTAGATTTTCTTCATCATATTCTTCGAGTTGGTTGATAACTCATGTTGATTTGTTTTGAAGCAAATAGTAAATGGAGAAATTGCCTTACAGATCTTATTTATAATCTTTTTTGGGCTATAAATAAGTGATGAAATTGGAATAAGTATTTGATTTGGTGAAGATTGGTTAAGATCATTTGAAGTGTTTTTCCAACCATACTTTAGAAAAAGACATGTAACATGGAGGAAAATTGTTGGGGTGCCCAGATGATTTCTGAAACGACTCAAACTATCCATCTATGTCGCATGCTTGTGAATGAGATGCTTGAGGTTGGTAATAAGAAAGTGAGAAATAAGGGGGGTATTTATGCATAAATTTATTCAACTTTTTTTAAAGACTGACATAACATTCATAATTATAAACTTTTTGGATAAAGATGATATATCAGACTTTGTACCTTTATATTATAAAATAAATTGGATTTTTTAATAAATAAATATTAAAATAATTGTCATCTTTAAAATTTAATTATTTTTCAACATTATATTTAATAAGTATAAGTTTAGTTCGGATGTCTGATGAGTTTAATAAAATTGATACGAGTAATATATATATATATATATATATATATATATATATATATATATATATATATATATATATATATATATATTATAGAGGGTATAAAGTAAAGTGAGTACTAATTTATTTGTATTTGTATTAATAATTATTTATTTTAACGGATAATTTTTTGTATTCATATCTATAGCTATTTTATAGACTTTTATCTTATTAATTATGAATAATTTTTAAAATATTTATTAGAGATGAGTTTATTTGTCATACTAAGAATAAGGAATGTTAATATAAAATAATTTTATATTATCAAATGAGTATTATATATTCTATCAAATAAAATGAATATTTTGAAATTAATGTATGACATAGTTGAGTGTTGATTTACTATTAAATAATATGATAAAATTATTCTAGACTATCGATTCATATTTATTAAACTCTTTATTTATTTACTAAATTTAGTTTTCTAGTAATTACAATTAATAAAAAGTGTTTTAATAAATGAAGCTGATTTTGTCATCACAATTATTTCAATTAATTTTAGTCGTGATAATTGTCACAGGGGTTTAAAGATTTCAAATAAAAAAATATTTTTTTAAAAAATTAATTATTTTAATTTCTTATGTATTGAATAAAAATATTTAAAAATATATATTTTTTTAAAGTCAATAATTTTAATTTATAATACATTGAATACAATATTTTAAATTAAAAAAAACCCCTTTTTAAACTTTAAAAATATTTAAAAATATATATTTTTTTAAAGTCAATAATTTTAATTTATAATACATTGAATACAATATTTTAAATTAAAAAAAACCCCTTTTTAAACTTTAAAAAAATGTCCTGTAACATTCTTTAGCATTTCCCTTTAATTCAATTGAAATCACAAGTTTAAAAATTTATTTGAGTCTATGTTGACTACCATACAGACACAACTAAAAGTTATATTTTTAAGAAAAATTACCTTTAAATAATCATTAATATATTACTTTTTCTAAAAACATTTATTATAATTTAATGTGTGCATGTCCCATTCTCAAAAAATATAGTTAATTGTGGTTTATTAAAAATTCCTGTTTAGAGAATAAAAAATTCCCCCGTCCGAAGTAATGCTATGCATAAATACAAGACATAATAAAATCTAAATAATAAAAATAGACAAATATACAAACATTTTTTACAAATAAATAGTCATTATAACTTGTCATCTATTGGTATTGACGGATTCTTAATTATTAATATATTTTGTAAAAATTTTAGTTAACTCTAGTAAAGTTTTATTAGTATAGTAATAGTGAAGACCTAAATTTATTAATATTTATACTTAATGTTTTATTCAATATTTCATGCTATTTTTCACAAACCAGATAAATTCTTGTAGTAATTGTTCTATTTATGATCTAACAGTTTAGTTTGTAAATTGAAGCCATTGCACGTACGCACAAAATTATTGAGAAGTGATACCAACAGTACTTTAAAAAGTTTGTTAATGTCTGAGGCAAAATGTATTTTATTTTTACTGCAGAAACCGAGGTAATAAAGGATATTTTAAAAAATAATGATTTAATAATTCATTTTTTAAAATATTGAGGAGTTAATTTATTTACACACGAGTTTGAATCAACCATATGTACTTTTATTATTTATAAAAATCAGCGTTTGATATATTTCGGTTTATTAATAAAATCGAGTAAGATAGTTTATTTTTTTATAATTAAAATTCGTTATGTTGTTTACACAAAAAATTAATTAATAAATTTATTTATAAATTATATTGTTGCTCTAAAATATTACATTGTTCACACCGAATATTAAAATAAAAATTAATTTATTTATGGAGATCATATATTAGATCTCCGAATCCTTGATATTTGGGAAAAATCAAATGCTAAGTGCAAGTATATTCTCAATGATTTTTTGTTATATTTTTTTTCTGATATAAAAAAAATTTAAATAAATAAATGATTTTCTGCTCAAATAAATATTTAAGAACACAAATCTTAAACCCCAAACATTTTTTGCTCTTGCAATCCATCATAGATAACTCTACATGATAAATACTCTTGCAAACTTTAACATGGATGATATAGATAATTTTAAGTGTTTCATGATGTTTCCTTATAAATTTTAGTTATCAGAATGCTTTTATAATGGAAGTTTTTTAGGTTTCACGCGGATCACTAATGGTAGTGTATTGAGCGTTGATACTCATGAAATTGACGGCACAAATTTGTTTAAGGACGGTGATCAATATCATCAATTATCACGCTTACACCATCGATCTTGATAAAAACCGAGGTGAAAATCTTTTTTTTATACATTAAATTGTTACACAAAATATTAAAACACAATATTACAACAAATCTAGATTCTTGGAGAACACAAAATCTTTGTTGTAAGAAGATCTTTGTTTCAAACATTGGAAATTGTTATATGGATTGAATGCATCAAACTTCTAAAGGAGATATATGTTCCAACCATTGGAAAATATTTTTCCGCACTTGCAATTCATTATAGAGAATTTTTTCAAGCTTTTTAAGTTTCAAGATTTTATCATCTTGTAATTCATCCCAAAGAATGACGAGTGCGAGTTAGGATTAGGGTAAAATTTGTTTAAGGGATGCTTTTATAGTAAAATCTGATTAGTTTATCCTCCGATTATTAAGAAAACCGACGAGATAGATCATTTAGTTTACAAATAAAAAATATAATAAAAAGATAGGTTCCTTAAATGTTTTTACCTCGGTTATTAGAAAATCTGAGGTAAGATGTCGTTTTATTTCTAAAATATGGCGCGCATTGGAATAATATCACTAGAATATCAACAATCATCCATATTCAAAACATAATGTATCTTTTAGATTTTCAAGGAGGCTTTTGAGCTATTTAAACACTATTTATATTTTCAACTCTCATTTCTAACTCTTTGTGTTTTCAAACCTAGTTTCAAAGTCTTTTCTTTTATTAAAAAATGAATGAAAATCTTTTGTTTGTTATCAATGAAAAGTTTATTGATTTCGATGATTTGAAAGACAAAGTGTTTGATCTAAGGAAAACTTTATTCAAATAAAAGTTAAATGGTTACTTTGACATTCTTCATGGTCACATCTACATTAATCTTGTTAAAGAGTTCTAGTTAAATGTCTCTATTTTGCCATCTGGTCATAATGCTGAGTCAATCTAGTCCTATGTCAGTGACTCTCCTATCACCATTACTTCATCACATATTACTAAGACAATAAATTATGAAGAGATATGTAGTTGTGTTGAACCATTATAGATTCAACAATGTTTACTCAACCCACCTTCACCTAATTTATACCAACAGAGATAAGCCAAATAGTCTTGCTACTCTACTATTAATTGAAAAAGTTTTGTATAAACTTCTAGTATCAAATCTCCGTCCAAGAGAGAAACAACTGGAAACGCTTACTTGGGATGACAAACATCTCTTGTACTTCCTTACCCGCAACGTCAGAGTTTATCTTCCTCATACTATTTTAACTTCTTAAAGTAAATGATAATCATCTCTCAGGAGGAATGACTTTCCTCATACCATATGTAAGAGTTCTTTCTAAACTTTTCTCTCAGTTAGATGTAATTAATAGGGATAATGTTGATGTTTAGTGGAGTCAGAAATTTGAATATATGGAATAGTTATCTATTGTCCTGTTTTTTATAAATGAAATATTTCCTTTTATATTATTTCCTACTCTTGTTTATTGATACAGAGATTTTGAGAACTACTAATTAACAAAGAAAAACATGGAATCTGGAAGGACGCCAAGTGAGAAATTATTGAAATAAACTTTAAATGCAATAATGGAGATTCGAAGCGAGATCTCTTATAGCTATATTCCCCTGGTTTTCCAAAAAAAAACAAGAGAATATGTTTATTATTATTTTTTATGGATAAAACATGACACTTACTTATAGCTATGTTACCTCGATTTTTGGGAAAACAAAGGAAAACCGTTGTTTATTTTTTTAAAATCAAACATGATGCTCCCAGGACTTATACTCTCAATTTTTAGCATGTTTAAGGTGAAAGTTTCATCATAAAAAATGTTATTTGTAGTAGTGAAGCAATGCAAGATCATGAAAGCCAAAGAATCATGCTGAGAAATTGCACTCCACTGCGGAGGAATTATTCTGTTTTTTACCTCAATGTTGAATTTTGATCATATTTGAAGTTCAGGAAATCCAAATGTAGTGATTTTTAGAAACAAATGAAAGTTAACATCAAATGCTACAAACTTTTCCAAAGACACAAAAGTCTATTTCGGGCTATAAATGGGTGAAAAGGGAAAATAAACTCATGAGCATTACTTATTGTAAAAATGGGTTATTTCTTACTATTCTCTAATTCCTAAATATTGAATAAATGACTCCCAAATTCAAGAGAGGTGAATTATATGATTTAAGTTTATAATTTTTGTTTTGTTTTGCAAAACATTGATTTTAGGAAATGAATAGAAGCAAAAATTCAGCATAAAAAATAAAGAGATACAGTTAGAGTGATTATGTTGTTGAACAAGGGACCTTAAGCACGAGGGGGGGGGGTGAATTGTGATTTTGAAAAGTGTAGATAATTTTCCCTTTTTCGATTAAGATTGTGTTATTAATATTTTTTGAGTAGTAAAGTGTAGCGGAAGTAAAATAAAATATGTCACAGACATTTAAAGTGAATAAGGATAGAAAGATTTCACCAGAG